TAAAGAGACCATGCCCTCAATTATACACAACTTTAAGCTTTAAAAAAAAATTTAAAAAGGGGGTGAGTTTTATAAAAATTCACCCCATACAGTTGTGATGATGGGGGGAGTTAGCTATAGAGACCAAAATAATTTTTTGAACCAGGTTGTAAATATGTTTATTTCTGCTGTAATGTTGGGCATTTTAACATGGGAGTCAATGGGAATTGACTTGCTTTTGAAGCCAGCCTCAAGTGGCCATTGGAGAAACTTCAGTTTGCAGCCCCGGTGGTTATTGCAGAACACGCGTTGTAAACCACTCTGTTAGAGGATGTGAAGTATAATTTACGAAAAGAACCGCCCAAATTACCATTTATGGTCACAAACCTTAAAGGCAAGATATATCACTAATTTCTGTTAACAACATGGATAAATAATAAAAGTTTGGACGCAGAAATAGCTTTGATCCAAGACGTGGACGTAAAACAAGCAAGTTCCACAGAAAGGATGTAAACGCAAGAGGAGGAGGGCTGTCTGCTATGGACCAGTGCATTGGCAGCATAATTGGAGAGACCTTGTGTCTGGCATCATTTGAGGACCCTCTCCCAGACCCTGAAGGAATAACAGACACACCAACTGATGGTAAGTCAAGCTTTATTTCAGACATGGACCACATCTAAATATTTAATATATAACAAAATAAATAACAGAATCAACATGAAATCTTCACAGATGTGGGTGATGCCTGACCCCTCAGGTGTCCTCTTTGGCAAGTGCTTCAGCTGTACCTTGTGTTTTGTCTGACTTCTACTCACTTTATAGGCATCAAATATTAAAGATTTGTTACACATGAACACATTCTTGGAGTCTAAAATTAGTTCAGGAATAAAAAATAAATAAATTTGTTCTCAGCACAGCACTTCTGCAGAGGTGATTTTTATTTTTTTTCAGTGTAATGTTTTGAACTGTGTGGGACACTATCACTCACTAGGTTTCCTGCAAAAGCAGTTCTGCTCAGTTTTCATTTTCTAGTTCACTCAGCACTAAATGGACCATGAAACTGAGAATCTGTCACAATCTGCCCATTCAGTGACTGTTTTGAAGGACTGTTTTACTTTGAAATTACTTTGTGTCTCTTGGTTGTTTTACTTCTTGTCGTTTCCTGTGTCTGTGATTGTCTGCCCTATACCTTGATGCGTTTCACCTGTTCCCAATTACCCTTGCCCTCAAGCTTCAAGCAAGAAAAAACTTTGCCGCTCAAGTTCAATTAAAAAATAAAAAATAAAAAAATACAGGAATTTAGTTCAAACACAAAGATTTTTTTTGAACTGGCCAATTGCTGCTGCAACATAATGTAGGCTGTACTGTCATAAATTAAAATTGTGTAATAGTAATATTCTTTCAGTATAAAACCATACCCAGTGACACTTAAAGTCCTTGTATTTATCATCAGTATATAAACATTTGGTAAATGGTTTTTAACAGACTGCAATGTTGCTATAAGCAGATGTTTTACTGTATTATCATTAATTATCTTTTTATACAGCAACCTCTACTTATGGGTGTCCACAAGAGTTGTAGATGTTGACAAATTCATTCATAAACACATCTGCCTACAACTACATTATAGTTTATTGCAAAGCATTTATCAAATGTTTATATACTGAGCACTCGTGTTTTTTTGCTCTATATCTGTACACAGATGATGACAAAAGCACTTCTTTCACAGTCTGTGTTTATGTGCATCATTCAACAAAAATATCACTTCAATGATTCAGCAACAACACAAATTCAGTTCAATTTATTCGGCGTCTCAAATTACGTAACGTAAGTCACGCTCTTCCCAAACAATCAATGTTTCACTTCTATTCATGTTTACACAAGCTTTTACCACACAAGTCAGCCATCTTCCCAATTAGACATGATTTCTCATAGAGTAAACTCTAAAACTCCTACACTGTCGGACTTACCTCTGGTACCGGTTAGTGGATTTCTTCGTGCAGACAGACTGTAAGAAGACAAAGGTTCCTGGAGACCGACGTGACGAAGAGGAGATCCGAGTATTTTTACTTACTGACCTACAGACTGTACACAGAGTCAAGGCTGGTTCACTGACGCCATCGTGATGTTTGTCGTCCGTATTTAAAACCGAAATGGCGCCAACACTCAATCACCGCAAGAGGTCATTGTATAAACGGTGCAGAGCTCCCCTGTGCTCGGTTTCTTCCCCTCCCCTTCCTGCTCCACCATCTGTTACAGTTGTTTGTTTGTTCCCCACCATGGATGTATAATTTAAACTTTATATGTCTTATAATAGGCCATCCATGTTCCCCACATCGATGGTTTCACAGTTTACTTTTCTAATGCTGTTATTCATAAGACTCGGCCGAGACTGGGCCGAGAAATCCTCTGTTGTGACGAGTTTTCCCGCTTTGTCTCATGGACACAGGAAAGGAAAGAGTGAACCAGCAAACATGAAGTCCAGCTGCAAGTGACACAAACTCCATAAAGGAAGGTTCAAGGTTCATAAGCTGCAGCTAAAAGCCATGAACTGCAGCGGGAAGTGAAGGTAAAAGTCCAACAGCAGCTGTGCATGAAGTTCGCTAATAAATAATAATCACAACATTCATGAACATACAGTTCATTCCTTTGAAAGCAATTTTGACTAAATAAAAGGCTTAAACGTCACATGTTATTCCTGAGCCTGAGGACAGATAAGTCTATTATCTGTCCTGAAATCAGAGAATCCTCAAATCCTCCACAGACAACACAAAGGCACTGACTTTGTCATAGTCTTTTCCTGGTCTGTGTCAACAGTTGTGTAGTCCTTTAAAAAATATCGATTAAATGTCATAGTGACAAATGAAAATGTGAAATGCATTTTTTAATTGAACCCCCCACATTAAGAGCTAATGAGTGCAAATGATACTAAAACAGTAGAAAAAATTCTGGGAGTTTAGACTTGCCAATGTCATATTATAAAAAAGCCAAAGGCTTGTTTTCATCAGTCAAGCTACTGAAGTTATATAGCTGAAATTACTTTGAGCCACTGGGAGAAATGCGTTTCCTCACTAACCTCATAATCTACAGTAGTTGTGTAGTGTACCTCCTAACAGGTCTCATCCAGATTTTTAATTGGACATAAAGTGTAATTACACTGGACTTTTATTTTATCATAATGAGCAAGCAGGAGTAGTCAGCTCGTTCCATTTCTAATAGTTAGCTAGTTCAAGTATTTAATCCTTTGCTTGCAGTGAGTCAGGTGTGAGTAGTTACAGCTGAGTGATTATATTTCTATAAATAAAAGGAGGCACACACACAGGTCAAATTCTACTGTATTATCTTGAATAAACCACAATGAACTATTCTAAATCAATAAATCAGTCAATCAATACATTCTCACTTTAAATATATAATCATGTTAGAACAAACCAAGGAGATTAGATGTACTACTTCACAACAAAATAAGCATGACTTGAGAAAATAAAATGAAATAAACTCACTCAATGCACTCAGGAAACAAAAGTGAAATGATAGAGGGAAGCAGTTGAACTAAAGGACAAACAGAGAATGAGCTCAGGACAGAATAAAAAACACTCAAGGCACCTGTGTGAGCTGTCTAGTTAGCACACCTGTTCTCCTGCTGCTCTTCAGCCCAGCAGTCATGTGACCTCACGTCCAACAGTATGCGTTATTATTTAAGTAAAAAAAAAAAAAAATGCAGTAATCTCATTTGCATTTTCATTTTCACATACTCATGAGGGCGTTCTTGGACCATATTAAAATTAACATTGAAAAGCTGTTGACACTTAATTTTCAACGACTCAACCTGCTCTACAGTGTCATTATTCAAATAAAATAAGCAAACTGCGCCCACAGTCCATTGCATTTACATTTACATGTCACTACGCTCTTTTGGGGTCAAAATGAAAATGAAAATGCAATTTGTCAGTCCTCTCATCAAGGCAGGTCATCAGTGAGGATATCACTTCATTGTCACTTTGTCTGTCTGGGACAGTGGCAGCGGCTTGTTTGACCGGCCTGTGTATGAGACTGTGTTTTATATCAATAAAACTCAATGGCAATGACCAGAGGTAGGATTTAAAGATGAATGTATTACAATAAGTGATAAAACGCTAAGAGACAGAAGTCTGGTAGTTATTCTGATCCCAGTTCACAGCAGAGATGAAACCAGCTGTTGGTATCAGTGCAGACCAGTGGGCACAGGACTGACAGGACACAAATGACACAAAAAACATATGCAGTATTTTGTATTATTCCGGTATTATTGGAAACTTTGTAATCTCCCACTACTGTGAGTTTAAACATTTTTGATCACACAACAGGGATTAATAATATATGTTTATAAGTGTGTGTGTGAAGTAGTATAAAGTAACAGATTAGCTACATACATGTATTGCAAGACTATAATGGAAATTTATTCACAATCAGTTGTGGGCTAAAAAAACCTATGACAGTTATGAGTTATGGTTATTATTTAGACAGTTTGTTTATTTATTTAGCTTAACTCTCCTTAAATTGACCGCTGCAGCCAGCACGTTTGTTCACAACGCGCAACCTTTACTTTGAAGACGAGCAGTCTCTGTTTCCGGCTCTCGACTTCCTTGTTCAATTTTCATTGTACAAGTTGGATAAGCCGACGCTGAATTAAATTGTACGTGTTCATTCAATGGGACAATAACAAACTCAAATCGTTAACAGCATTTAGGCAGCATCGGCTAAAGAAGAACGAGCTCATAAACGTCAACATATTTACACACATATGTACACAAGTAGGCCAATGAAATTAGGCAATACCCCCTAAACTGGCATTTTTCATTATACAACGTGAACAACATGTGCGGGCCCTCGCCATACTATAATTAATTTTTTTCTTGAGGTCTTTGTCGGTATCTGCTGGACATTTTCGCTACTGCAGCACGCGTCAAATTTCTATCAGGCACTGTGCTGGCCGCCTCTCATGACGGTGTTTATGCTGACGAAGGACCCCCAATCGGCGGCTCGTCGTTGGCTTCCCGGAGTTGCAGAAAAACTATATATGTAAATGGAACTTTATCCATCTGAAATCTGAATCATCTTATTTAAAACGCCGGTAAATATTTTATTCTGTGAATCTGTAGCTTGTCCGTAATTAATTGGACATTGTATGCATGTGGAGTGCGCAGTGTGCAGCCTGATAATAAGCAAGAAAACAGAGGACGCGTCAAGGCAAAAGTGGCGCTTTGTATGAATGGGCTGCTCTTAGCCCGCTGAATACAAGTTAACATAGGATCCGAATTGGCTAAATGTGTGCTCAGTTTTACCCCAGGAATATTTCCAGGTGAAATAGGTTACCTTATTCTACCAGGCGTATAACCAAAGAGTTAACTTCGCGAACAAAAGTAGTTGTTGAACGTTACTTTACTACTTGCTAAGCTAACGTTTAGTAACGTCAACTAGCTAACGATAGCAGTGCCCTGCGATTGCTGGCATGTAAACAAAAACGTTTTGGGTCGGGTAGTTATTTTAACTCTCTGCTAACTTCCTGTAGTTTTATTTTGAGGAGTTTATTAGTTTAGAAAGAAGTTGTTTGTTCTATAGTACTACTTCCTATATAGTGTAACTCAAGCTCAATTTGATTATCCCTCCAAAACAGGCACCTCGTTTGTCATCAGTGGACCTGTGCGTTTCAATTGACTAATTGTCACATTTCAAATTTCTTCGGTTAAAAAAAAAAGTGTATATATATTTAAATTTGTCCATATGCTATTGGTTTCCTTCCCTTTTGCTACAGTTTTGAGCCAGGCTAAGCGCTCTGTTTGCTGAAGGATCTTGTGGGGAAGCTACTGAGAGGGAGCCATGTTTCTCTACAACATCACGCTGCAGCGTGCCACTGGCATCACCCATGCCATCCATGGAAACTTTTCAGGTGAGCTCAGGATGCTGTTGTCTGCCCTTTACTGCATGCCCACTCTTCCTGTTTGTTTGGGTTATCTTTATATTGAATATCTGTCTGTACAGCCTTCCCTGTTGACAAGTCTGTGTTCACATTAATTGATTTGCTTATTGGTAGAGTCTGCTTTTTTCAGTTTGGATAATTTTCATTGTTTTATTATTGACTAACTGCAGTTCAGGGTTGTGCCTCATTATTTCTGACAGTTGTGGTTTGGAGCTAATGCAGATTGGAGAATGTCTTAATTTCATCACATAAGTAGCCATTAGCACACACTAAAACACACAGGCCATGCTATGTGAATAGAAAGCAGAATTATGAAGAAACCCTGTTAAATTAATTCCAGGGCTTCAACTATAACGAATCCCTATCTGACACATAAAATGTGCTTAATGCTAAAATGAGTTGTTTGTGTTTTGGTAGGAACCAAGATGCAGGAGATTGTTGTTTCTAGGGGAAAGATCTTGGAATTATTGCGGCCAGATGCCAACACAGGAAAGGTGCACACTCTGCTCACAGTGGAGGTGTTTGGCATTATCAGGTCCCTGATGGCATTCAGACTCACTGGAGGAACCAAAGGTACGTACCCGTGGTCACATGCACTTGCATGCATGTGTTTGTGACTACAAACGTGGATTATATATTTAAGAGCAACCCTCAAAAATGTATTTTTACCCTAGATAGTTGATTTTCATGACATGGATTGTTGCATGTACATAGCTAACCACTGTTATTGAAATGTTCTATTTAAGTGAGAAGAGTTCTCCCTGCTTCCCTTAGATATAACAAAATTAGCATGTCTGACCTTGATGTTGGGACCTCACAAAAATGATTGATAAACTGCTGAATCGAGAGGGGAAAAGTATCTTTTTGTTACACGAACCATCTTTGACTGTTGTATATTTGTGTCTGTGTGTGTATTTGTAGATTACATAGTTGTGGGAAGTGACAGCGGCCGTATTGTCATCCTGGAATATCATCCATCGAAAAACATGTTTGAGAAGATTCACCAGGAAACGTTTGGAAAGAGCGGCTGTCGGCGCATTGTTCCTGGACAGTTCCTGGCTGTCGACCCAAAAGGCAGAGCTGTTATGATAGGTACGAATTACGAAGACATGATGTTAAAGGCATGTGAGAATTTATTTGTGGTGGTGGGTGGCATGGCGTGTGACTGAGTAGAGCCTATATATGGTAAACGCTGAAAGGGTTTGCATATTTGTATGTAATGAGCAGTTGACCAGATGAGAGATATTGCTCTTGAGTTTTATTGTAAAATTTTGCCTCACACATTAAATCTTACAGTTCACAGTAGTTAAATGAAACTAAGCGTTCTGGATGTATGTTGTCCTTCCCCTGTCTAGGAGCAATCGAGAAACAGAAGCTGGTTTATATTCTGAACAGAGACGCAGCTGCGAGACTGACCATCTCCTCTCCACTGGAAGCCCATAAAGCGAACACACTGGTGTACCATGTTGTCGGAGTCGATGTTGGCTTTGAAAATCCCATGTTTGCTTGCTTAGAAATGGACTATGAGGTGAGTTCATGAAAACTTGTGGTTATGAAGAAATTTACAGAGGATAATTACACACATCACACTGCTGTAGATGTGATGAGTTTGTCATGTCTCTTCTCTGACTATCACTGGAGAAAGATTTAACACCTCTGATCTCAGCACATTTTAACTTGTTAATTTACTTTAATAAGTAAAGCTTAATAAGCATTTTGACATTTTGTGTAGCAGTTCAAAGTTGATGCCTTCTCCACTGTGTCTAATGCTATTATTGAGTCTAATAATGGACACACTTTGCCAGCCCCTGATCCTGTCTGTTGATATTTGTTTGTTTCCAGGAAGCTGACAATGACCCAACAGGAGAAGCTGCTGCAAACACGCAACAGACGCTCACTTTTTACGAGCTGGACCTTGGCTTGAATCATGTTGTCCGCAAGTACAGCGAGGCTTTGGAAGAGCATGGAAACTTCCTCATCACTGGTAAGCGTTTGGACGCAGGTGGTTGTGTACATCAGGGCTGAAACAAGAGTTTTGCGACTTGTCAGCTGCTACAGTATTTGACTGGAAGCTGGAAGCAGCAGAACTTTTTCATATTGGATTCGTTTTCAGAATTTGCAGGCATAGCTGTGAGAATTTTTGCAAACATCACAGTGTTGTAGATATGATGAGTTTGTCATGTCTCTTCTCTGAGAAACTCTGGAGAAAGCTTCAACATCTCTGATCTCAGCACAAGTTTACCAAGACATTAACACATCAAAGAGCAGCATAGAGGAGCAAGTGGAAACCTCTGAATATAAAACAGGCCCTTGTGCTTTTGGGCTCCAGCTGTTTTAACTATTTTATTCATGATTCTGTAAAAGAAACACACCCCACTAAATGCTCCTCTCTGTTTTAGTCCCTGGTGGTTCAGATGGGCCCAGTGGAGTTCTGATCTGCTCTGAAAACTACATCACTTACAAGAACTTTGGAGACCAGCCTGACATCCGCTGTCCCATCCCGCGACGCAGGGTGAGTCCTTAATACAGAAATGCATGATGAAAAACATGGTTCTGTTTTTTCTCTTAGTACATCTTCCTACGAGCATGACTTGTAAAGCCAGTACTATGATTTCAAGTGGATGTTTATGTGGAAACTTATGATTTAAGTCACTACAGCTACTCCTCTTGTTTTTCAATATGTGCCTGGTATTTTTGCCCTCTCTAAGCACATTTATTCATTCTGCTTTCCTGTTTCTTCCTCCTTTTCTCATCTGTCCCGTCCTACAGAATGATCTGGATGACCCAGAGCGTGGCATGATATTTGTCTGCTCAGCCACCCACAAGACCAAGTCCATGTTCTTCTTCCTGGCACAGACTGAGCAGGGAGACATCTTTAAGGTTACCCTGGAGACAGATGAAGAAATGGTGAGCACAATTGGAAAATGCCATGTCATAGTTCATTGCCACTGGTTTTATGTTTATAATACCTACCCCAATGCATTATAGCAGAAAAACATATTGTGTTATAAGTAAGTCTGTGTTGTTTCGTAGGTCACAGAAATCAGGCTGAAGTATTTTGACACGATCCCTGTGGCAACAGCCATGTGTGTCCTGAAGACCGGCTTCCTGTTTGTGTCGTCAGAGTTTGGAAACCAGTAAGTTTAAGGCTGTACATCATCTGTGTTGTTATTTATTTCCTTGTTGTCCTCACTCTTTAAGTTTATTTGTCTTGCTTCTGAAAAAATGTTAGTCCTTTCACCCTTTTGTATGATTTCAGAGGTTAAAATTTTCTGTTGCTCTTTTTCTGTCAGACCTCTTTTCCTCATGTTGTTCTTCCTCTGTGTCCTTCAGTTACCTCTACCAGATCGCTCACTTAGGTGACGACGACGACGAACCTGAGTTCTCATCTGCAATGCCATTGGAAGAGGGAGACACCTTCTTTTTCCAGCCCCGCCCCCTCAAAAACCTAGTGCTGGTGGATGAGCAGGAGAACTTATCACCCATCATGTCCTGTCAGGTGAGTGTGCCACAGATTCAGTTAGAGGAAAGAAAGATGGAAGAAAGCAAGAACAGTGCAAGTCTTCATCGGCTCGTTGTTCACTCTCTTCCTGTTTTTGACAGATTGCTGATTTGGCCAATGAAGACACACCTCAGCTGTATGTGGCCTGTGGACGAGGTCCAAGGTCAACCCTAAGGGTCCTTCGGCACGGACTCGAGGTACACACACACACACACACACTGTAACATACATGCAGTTGCATGTGCACACACATACTCAGATGGCTGTGAAAGTGATGAGTTTTTTCATGTCTCTTCTCTGAATAAAAGCTGAAGAGTCTTTAAATCTCTCTGATCTCAGCACAAACAGAGTCCGTAGATTTGATGTCATGCTTTGTCACCATTGTTAGTCTTTGTCACTTGCTGCTTGTAAACTTGGCTCAAAACAATCACTGGGTTATTGTCGGTTGGCATTTCTGGCTCTGGGTGTGTTAACATTGTTACTTTCATGAGGAGTACAGATCACACCTGTGAGTATTTATATACATTCTGGCTGCAGGGCTTTCAAAGATGTTTCCCCAGTTACATGTGTGCACAATAAAAAAAAAAAAAAAATGCCTCAGCCAGTTGAGATGTGAAAATAGGAAAGAAATATTTTGTGTGGCACATTTAGTACTGAAAGTTAACTGGATTGAAAATCCTAAAATCTCACCAGTTATCTGAACCAGTAGTTCATAATTGTTCTGCTGTGTTCTGTGTAGACAAACTGCATTTGCACTTGTGTTTGGTAGTTAACACTTCAGTTGTTTATTTTGAGGACAGTAAATGTGAAATGATCAATATTCAGCCGTAGCGTGAAGGTACCCAGAGGCACATGTACAGTCAAACTAAAAAAAACAATATAATCTTTGGATCAGTCGTTACAGTGTCATGATAAAATATGTGATTACTGATGAACATTAAATCCTCTTCTTCCTCCTCTGTTCGTCTGGATCAGGTTTCAGAGATGGCTGTGTCTGAGCTGCCCGGTAACCCCAACGCTGTGTGGACAGTACGCAGACACGTGGAAGGTAACAACATTCCTTTTCTCTTTATTTCCCTCTTATATCCGACTCCCTCACTTTCGTCACTTATCTGTCTGTCTCTCGTCTCATCTTACCATATGTGTGTACATCTCACTGACCCGAGTCGCAGTGATTGGCTGAGTAGCATGTCGTGACCAGTGTCGTAAAGGCTAGAAAAGATGCACCGGTTAAAATAGAAATGCGCCGTCAAAATGTAATAATTTTTAATGATTTATAGGTCTGGGTCTGGGTAGGGCGGCGTCTTTGTGTTCTCTCTTTTTTTCCTCTTGAATTATGCATTTCCAAGAAGTTGTGTGGTTTCTACATTTTGTGAGTTTGCTCCACAGCCAGGTGGAAGAGATCAGTCATTAGGTGTGTGTGTGTGTGTGTGTGAGAGAGAGAGGGAGAGAGTATGTGTAAGGGACAGGGGAAAAGACGGCTAATTTCAGGGTGATGCTCGTGATATTGACAGTGTCTGGAGGTCCTCTGGGACAAATATCTTCAAATCCTTGAATTATTTTGTTTTGTCTAAATATAATTATTCATAGAAAAAGTTTAATATATTGGTATATCTGATTTGTTTTATTCAAAAAGATACCGTAAATCCCGGACTATAAGCCGCTACTTTTTCACACGATTTGAACCCTGCGGCCTTTACAACGATGTGGCTAAATTATAGATTTTTACTGGCCAACGGCCTCCGGGGGGCGCTCTAACGGCCTCCGGGGGGCACTCTAGCAGGAAGCGCAAAAGTGAGACAGACGTGGGGAAAGATTATGCGCCGAAGAAGACACGGTAGTTTTGATTTTGATTTTGAACTGTCATGGAAAACACAAGGAGAAATGCCTATGATGCGGCTTTTAAGTTAAAGGCAATCGATCTGGCCGTCAAAGAGGGAAATAGAGCTACTGCACGTAAGCTTGATATCAATGAATCGATGGGGAGACGTTGGAGGCGGCAGCGGGAAGAACTGAGTCAATGTAAAAAGACGGCGAAAGCTTTCAGAGGACATAAAAGCAGATGGCCCGAACTGGAAAACATTCTTGAAGACTGGGAGAACACACAGAGAGCAGACGGCCGAGGTGTTTCCACCGTGCAGATCCGGCTGAAAGCAAAAGCAATCGCGTTGATGCCGTGTTGGTGCCGTACAGGCAGTTTGAAAAAAAGCACATCTTGAATTAAATCTTTAAAAAAAAAAATCTTCCGTGTAATGTATTTCTGTGTACGTAAATATCTCATGTTACAACATGAAAACCTGCGGCTTATAGTCAAGTGCGGCCTATATATGTACAAAATTTATTTTCTTGTAAAATTTAGCTGGTGCGGCTTATATTCATGTGCGCTCAATAGTCCGAGATTTACGGTAATCATCTAAAAGTAAGGGTGGTCTCATCTGGGACGTTTCATTTTTGGATTATTATGATAATAATTTAGCTGCAAACTTGTTCCCTTTTAGCAAAATGTCACAGTTTTTAATGAAAAAGATGGCACCCTTGTTATTTTTGTAGTTCAGAGTTTCTTAATTTGGGGTTTGGGGTTGAGAGTAACTTCACAACCCATTTTAGCTTGAACACGCTCTCTTCACAAACTAAAAATACATTCTGAGCCTGGACACGAACCACTGGACACTGTTGCTGTTTGGCTGAGCTTCAGTAATGCAACCTCGTACAAAGTGACCGTAGATACTTCAGTTTTGTTTCTGAAATCTAGCTGGAATATGAATGTCACCCAAAGTAAATGTGTATTACAAGCCTTTATTAATATGAATAATGCTTTTGATGGCCAGTGCTAATTATACAGCAAATCACTCTGCTGTGCTGCCGTTTCTGTCCCATGTGTCTGTTTTTCTGTCATTTATTCATCATATGTAGCCTCAACACAACCGTGTTATTTTTCTCATCGTTGCCTTTGGGTTTTATTTTATCCTTTTTATCATTAGATGAGTTTGACGCCTACATCATCGTGTCTTTCGTCAACGCTACTCTGGTTCTGTCCATCGGGGAGACTGTAGAGGAAGTGACAGATTCTGGATTTCTGGGAACAACGCCCACTCTCTCCTGCTCCCTGCTGGGTGAAGATGCCTTGGTGCAAGTGAGTGAGATGCACCTTTTAACACAATTTTTTTTTTACTCATACCTGTTATGATCTCAAGATCGTCTCAAGTAATAAAATTGATGCATGAGCTGTCCTGACCATTTTATTTTATTTCTACTTCACAAATTTCACATATAACAGAAAAATAACTGCCTTTGCAAAGATTCATTTTAAATGTTTGTATGTAGTCATCACTTAATATTCCACAGATTTTTGTAATATTGTTGAGACGGTTTGTTTCAAATTAAAAACCAGTATTAACTTTGTTTTATGAGGCAGATTTAAATTTTTAAGATGTATTACAAGGAGTGTTGCACATGCACCCATAAATATTTTCTCATAATATTTCATGCAAAGTATTTAGAATTGGACACAGATGACTATCATTTAACAGCTTGTGTGTTCTGATTTTTTTTTTTGCCTTGATTTGGTCCAAAAAAGAGCGAGCATGTCACCTCAGTCCCAGCCTCTCTATTGGCTCTCTATTCACTTTAGAATCTAATTTAAGACCTTGCTAATTGTTTTCAAGGCTTTGAGTGATCTGGTGATTTGTTGGCACTTAGATCTGTCAACAAACCTCTCTTGTATTTCCTACGGTCACAGCTGAAACTAAAAGGTGACAGAGCTTTTGCAGTTGCTGCTTCACAATTGTGGAAAAAGTTGCTGTTAAAAATAAGATGTGTTCCTTCTGTCTGTTTTTTAGGCTTAAGACACATTTTTAATCAGTGGCCATTTAGTCCACTAATCTTTTATCTGTCGTAATGTCTATGATTCTGTATTTGTCCTCAGTTGTTTATTGCTGTCATTGGTATATTTTTATTTGTGTTTTTAAATTCACTTTATATATTAATATCCTTTTGTACAGCACTTTGGTCAGTTTAAGCTGTGGTTAAATGTGCTTTAGAAATAAACCTTACTTACTTAGTTTACTCTCTTGAACCGTTAGATTCAGGAACTGATGTTGGAATAGTGAGAAAAGAGTGATCACTATAGTGATTTGATATCATCAAGAAAATAACTCCGCCTTCTACACTATTTCTTTCTTTCCATCTTTTCCTCCACAGGTGTACCCAGACGGCATCCGCCACATCAGAGCAGACAAGCGTGTGAACGAGTGGAAGACTCCTGGGAAAAAAACAATTGTCCGCTGCGCTGTGAACCAGCGGCAGGTGGTGATCGCCCTCACTGGAGGAGAGCTGGTCTACTTTGAGATGGACCCGGTAAGAACGTAGATGTTTTTGTTTTTTGTTTTTTTTGTTTGCGCTTGCATGGCCAAGACTTTTTTTTATGTTTTAAGTTGAATATTGCTTCAGGGAACAGATCTGTCCTTGTCTAAACTGTCTTTTGCTTTAAATTTAAGTAAAATAAAAATTCTGTGTTTGGGAGGCAATAAAACTCAATCAGTTGAAAACGAGTTTGTTTAAAAGTAGACCGCTGTGTAGACTGTTATGACGCCTCAGTGTGATTTGTGTTTCTGATGCGCACATGCTCAGCACTTCATAGTTTATAGTGCAGGCTTTGAACATTAATCACTATTTTTTTTTAAAGTATAATTTTTTTTGGGCTTTTTATGCCTTTAATGGACAGCACAGTGGAGAGTGACAGGAAATGGGGAGGCAGAGAGAGGGGGAATGACATGCATGTGAAAGCCGTCCGATGCGGATTCGAACCGGGGCCGACTGCAAGCGAGGACTGGTAGCCTCTACACATGGGGCGCCTGCTTAAACCACTACGCTACACGACGCCCCATTAATCACTATTTTTACCAAATTGGCGTCTTAGACAGTGTAAACAGAATGTTTTTGCTCCCAAAAAATGATTAACTTCACAAAATTCACTGAATTAGTGTAATAATTTTCTGAAGAGAACATGACAACCAGAGGACTTAAATGTATTTAAAAGTAATACTGAAGACTAAAACTAAATCTGTCTCTGGTGCCATAATAGACGCAGCAGAGAAGTGAGATGACTGAGGAGTGTAATAGTGTTGCTCTCTTTGTTTCCTTCCTGCCCTCTCTGTAGTCCGGCCAGCTGAATGAGTACACAGAGCGGAAAGAGATGTCTGCAGATGTGGTTTGCATGAGCCTGGCTAACGTCCCACCTGGTGAGCAACGCTCTCGATTCCTGGCTGTTGGACTGGTTGACAACACTGTTCGAATCATCTCCCTGGACCCTTCGGTATGAAACGATACATAAGTTTGTCGATGAAAGTCTTTTTCCAAAAGTGTTTGGGGGAAAAAAATGAGTGAAGTATTGTTGTAGTCACCTTGTTGCCTCATATTCAGCCAATCTTGCTAGCGTGGTTTTAAGTGGTAAATCGATTATCTATTTGTTTTTTCATCAAGTAATTTAGCACCTAATTAATATTATCTAAACACACCATGAACTAGTTTGAAACCACTTTCATCTGTTTCACTGATTGACATGAATCCCCTCCAGCCAAAACTAAGCTGTTTAGTTTCTTCTCTGGTCAGTAACAAGTAATATCCATGCTTGTTATAATAAGAGTTACGCCTGGCCGTAGGGGAAAACCTGATGCAACATGAAATTTGAGCCCTGCTGTCAAAAGGTGACCAGTGAGGAATCCTTGGGCATTAAAATATTTGTTTTTAGGGTCACTAGAGAACTCAGCTTCAGGCCTCGGCCAAAATGATAACTTTAAGCAAACCAGACTGCTGTTATTTACCTGTCAACTCAAACAAATGTCCAAACTTGAACCTTGAAGAAATTAATGGAGCACACAAGTGGTTGTTCATCTATGATGATTGACTTTTATATTTGGTGTTGGTCTGTTAGTGAGTTTGGGAGGCTGATTTTAAAAAAAAAAAAAAAAAAAAAAACTCCATAGCTGAAGATAGAGAATAAAGTGATTTATTTAAGATTACTGAATTATTTGAAAGGTAAAATATAGTCCTCAAATTATGCAGTGTAATTTTGCTACAAACCATGGCTGGCAGTCTCATCCACCCTTCTTTCATCAGATTTAATAGGTTCTTTTTTAAAATGAGTCAGACAGAATATGACACTTTTCCACAAATTACCCAAGAGATGGAGCAACAGAGCTCCTTTGTGGGTATGAAGTTGTTCTTGAGAAAGATGCTGAAGGCAATTAGAAAAGCAATATGCCTGATAGTTGTGACAGTGACAACAATGGTGAGAAATAATAAAAATATTGACCAGGGTCTTGATGGATTTTATTTGATTAGATTTATTTTTAAAAACATGATGTTGCCCCAAACCGAAACTTTTAATTCTGACAGTTTTTAACTACACGTTTTGAAGTGATTCCACTTTAATCAGGTGGAATCAGCACTGACACATTCACTGATTACTTATTATTCCTGAAAGCTCCAATTAGCCTCAATTAACTGAAGCAAGAACGGTTTATTTTTATGTTTTTAAAAGAAGAGAATGTCTTGTTTATTTGTAGTTAGATTGTTTTGTATGTTGGGAACCTTGTGTATGTTGAAATAGTTTTAACCCTCTGAATCTTTATCATGTTCAGGACTGCCTGCAGCCGCTGAGTATGCAGGCCCTGCCAGCCCAGCCAGAGAGTCTGTGTATCGTAGAGATGGGAGGCGTCGAGAAACAGGATGAACTTGGAGAAAAGGGAACCATCGGATTCCTCTACCTCAACATTGGACTTCAGGTGTTTTTTCTCATTCGCTGACTTGATTCCAGAAACATCACACCCCCCATAAGACAGTCATATCTACAGTATATGCTAATACTGGCTCAGCTTGAACTCAGAATGACAGGTATTTTGCATATTCATGAATTAATAGTAAAGGCACATATAACACAGTCTCACTTGGTCACATCAGTTTTCAACTGACAGTGACTCAGAGACCACCATTCTGTCCAAGAAGCTACCTTAGGACAACTGTTGTGTGGTGTGAGGAAAGGGGTTGAGAATTGAGGGTTTTCGTCTTACCTCTTAGACCCTTTAGACACTGACTATTACTTTTCACTGAAACTTGCAAAACTCTGTTTTCTTGCCTAAAACATGTAGTAAATCTTTTTAGATGCAGTATAAGGTGAGTGTGGTACGGAGAATGGTACATTATGCGTGCACATGTGACGTTCAGGATGCATTCCAACATCAGCAAAGAACAGGCTACCATGAAACACTATTTTATTTTATCCTTAAAGTCACCATGGCTTTTTAAAAATGTTATATTTGTGAATATTCAAATTCATGCAAACAATAATTAGTCCATAGAATATGGTGATAAATAAACAAATAAAAATAGTGATTCCTACACTGAAACTGCATTATTGAATGCATGGGCAGGGACCACCTGCAATGCCTTCACAGACCACCAGGGGGCTGCAGACCACCCGTTGAAAATCCCTGTCTTGTGGGTTATTCAGGAAGAACTGGACAATATTCAGTTCTAAAAATATCTGCAACAACCTACGATGTCTAACCAGACATTTAACCAAGCAATTACCAACAATCCAGCGCAGTAGTCTGGAGTTTTAATTACTATCATGCAGTGATGGTAATTGACATGAAATTAAGTTATTGTCTATTTACATTTATAATTTTTGAGGCTATTTGTGACAGATTCTTGTGATGTGAATTATAGACCATTTCATCTAATGTGTGTGTGTGTGTGTTTGTTTGATATCCTTTCTCAGAATGGTGTGCTGCTCAGGACTGTGTTGGACCCAGTAACCGGTGACCTGTCGGATACAAGAACACGCTACTTGGGGTCACGACCTGTCAAACTCTTCAGAGTCAGGATGCAGGGACAGGAAGCTGTATGTGACTCATACTTTTACATATAATGAACACTTGGGGTGGGAATCTCAGAGTAACTTACAATACTAGTATAAATTGCCCACAATAAAGATGGTATCACAGTACAGAGATTCTGCGATACACGATACATTGCAAGACAGTCATTAACAATACATCACGATGTCTGTGGAAGTGAAGAGGAAAAATGCCCCTAAAAGGCAAAAAGCAGGAATCATGTATTCACTGGATTGTGGTGTCAGTTTCACAGATGAAACGATGCACAACAAAGTGCACAGGGTCTTAGTTTAGAGCCTCTTTAACGCACACACTGACTGCAATTTGTCCATGGCTACGTGTGCCATCACTCCAATGTAAAATGACAATAAACTGGCAAAAGGCTGAACTGCCAGGAGGCAAAAGAATTCTGGAGTTAAAGTGTTAAAAATAATTTAAGAACACATTTCTCTCAAAAAATAAAAACATTTACAAAAAAAACACATTCATGGCTTTAAAAGCACAATGAAATTTTATATAAAACTTGCAGTCTGCAGTCTCTGTCTCAGTCACCTTCCAGCTATAATTCAGATTCATTTATCATTTATTCATTTATTAGTCTGCTAATGTAACTTATGGGAGGACTCTTAACATAAAACTTTAAGCTCTAAGAACTAGTGAGGATTTGTAATTTCTGTCATTTTAAGGGCCAAACAACCATGTGATTAATCATGAATGGAAGATGAATTGTTGTGAAAATAATTTGTTGCAGCTGTAAAATATAAACTCTTTCCTCGTATTGACAGGTGCTGGCAATGTCCAGTCGTTCCTGGCTCAGCTACTCGTACCAGTCTCGCTTCCATCTGACCCCTCTGTCATATGAGACTCTGGAGTACGCCTCTGGCTTTGCCTCTGAGCAATGCCCAGAAGGTATAGTGGCCATCTCCACCAACACACTGAGGTATGGATACACACTTCAACAGTTTTGACATGTTTGCATGCAACTTAGGCAGCTTTGTTTTGTTCATTTGAATACCTGAGTCGTCTGTGGTGGGTTGGCCAGGAGGGAGCTGGGCAGCCGGCCTGAATTTCAGACTTCTGGGGTCGAGGGATTTACAACACTTGTTGCTTTTGTTGCACTTAACATAACGAGCGAAATGACACCGTAAATTATAGTAAAATGCAGTGGAGACTCTCACACTGAGCTGAAATGAAATAGATGTACATAAATTAGGGAAATAACATAAATTACAAAAACTTTTCTTTGGTTTCTTGGAGGGAGTGGGATGTCAGGCAATTTTGGGGTAACACTGACCAGAACAGCTCAGTGAAGAAACGTTAATCCATCTGAGATTTCCGGCCCCACAGTTGAAACGAATTTGTGACTGTCTTTTGTCGCCTCCTCCTCACTTCTCCTCTCCTTATCTGTCTGGCAGAATCTTGGCTTTGGAGAAGTTAGGGGCTGTCTTCAACCAGGTGGCCTTTCCTCTGCAGTGCACCCCCAGAAAATTTGTTATCCACCCGGAGACCAACAACCTCATTTTGATTGAGACTGACCACAATGCCTACACCGAGGCGACCAAAGCTCAGCGAAAGCAGCAGATGGCTGAGGTATGAAGTGCAATGTCAATGAGATAATGGTCTTATGATCATACTGGCAGAGCTAAGATCAGCTCCTGGGCCCTGACAGTTATACAGTCACAGTCAAAACACACCTTTAATAGCGCCAGATGACACAAATGACATAATGACAAATAACTTGGTGTAATAGCTGGAGTTTTGATGTTTTCTGAGAGGCCAGACTGTTCAGAGTACAGAGACCACCCAGGTTGAGCATCTGCTTTGACATCACACATTTTAAGCAAAGGCCTGAAAGTAGCTTACTGTTTCCATTTTGGTGATTGTGTTCAGTCAGGGTCAGCAGGCCGAGGGCAGTTTTCCAGTTTTTTTCAACATTGTTTATTACAGTGTTTAGCACAAGCTCGCAGGAGCAGTGAAGAGGTGAAATGTGTTTGGATTTAATTTGGATATTTGATTTGTATGAAAATAAAAAGGGCTGCCCCCTAAAAGTTGAAGACTTGAGTTGATAAAAACATTAAACATACATTGACAAAGTTAATAACCCCATGAGAATCGAACTCACTGAGAGGCTCCATGGTGCCCTGAAACCGCAGTGGGCTTTAGCTCAGTATCAGACCTGCCAACCTGTATGCATTTTGACGTCAAAGTACGCCGGTACAACTTCACACTCTAAAGTACCGAAAATGCTGGTGCTGCCTTTTGGCCATTGTTGCAGCGGTTTCAAAATGCCATAGTGTCCTTTCACCCAACCTCTCTCGTTATGTGATCCTGGTGCCCCTGCAGGAGATGGTGGAGGCTGCTGGCGAGGATGAAAGAGAACTGGCCGCTGAGATGGCCGCTGCCTTCCTCAACGAGAATCTCCCAGAAGCCATCTTTGGTGCACCTAAAGCTGGAGCCGGGCAGTGGGCCTCACTGGTGCGTCTGGTCAACCCCATACAGGGTTCCACATTGGACCAGGTGCAACTGGAACAGAACGAAGCTGCATTCAGGTGAGCAAGATCCAGCTCAAGTAGAAAAATGTTTAGTTTCTTACATTTGAGAGATTGTTGAAGTGTATAGAGAATACAGGGTAATGTCTGATTCTGAGATCAAGCAGGACATTTGTGATAATGAAGGAACTCTTCTCACTCTTCCCTTTTTTTAATCGTTTGATATTTTCCAGTGTGGCCGTGTGTCGTTTCACCAACACAGGAGACGATTGGTATGTTCTGGTTGGTGTTGCCAGAGACATGATTCTCAACCCCAGATCAGTGGCTGGTGGCTTTATCTACACCTATAGGCTGATTGGTGGAGGGGAGAAGCTGGAGTTTGTTCACAAGGTGGGTTTGACTGACACCTAATCTCAGATGAAATTATTTCTTCCTCCCTTATTTAGATTGATGACAGGAAAATATTTTTTTGCTGCATTTTTTTTTTTTCTTTTCTGTTTTGAAATTTATTTTTACATGCAATGGACTTCAAGGAACTGGATTACAACTTACTCACAAACTTACTCATTGACATAGAACAGGCAACAGAAAAGGGAATACTCATAACATTTATTGGCTGCTGATAATGCCAGTGCAAAAAAAAATTGCAGCTGTTCTTTCTTTGCCTGTAGGTGGCAAACCTTGTTTACATATTGTGCTGGTCTAAACGGTTGCTGCTATTGCCTATGTTGGCCTGCATGTGCCGATCTGCAGCGGAGTGATTTTGATGTGTCATTATAGCCTGACTAAGCAAAAGAAGCACAGTGTGAGGGAGTGAACGTGGAATGTGGCCAATGTGACCCTGATGTCAGGCACCTGTAGATGCATTTTGCTTTGGAGGTAGTGGGATCATATCACATTACCACGTAATGCATGGAGGAGGGTGCTAATTGTCCAGAGAAACTGTTCTATTATTAAAATGCGGATTAGCAGGTCATCAGGCACAACAGCCCTGAGTAAATTTTCAGTGATACCAAGCACTGATGTCACTACCCCTGGCATCACGCCCCTCTCCCCGGGCAATTCCCCAGAAACCCGAGCCGGATGGAGGCCATCAGGGTGATTCAGCCCACATGCAATTGTTACCTGATGTGGATTAACAGGGGAAGTGAGTCATAAGGGGGTTGTATTGCGTAGTGGTGTCAGCCACTTCTTGCATATTGGAGGAATTTCCCATCCACTTAAATAGATCTGATATTGAGTCTCTTTGGTCTAAACACACATTTTTACTCATGCATATGGATACCCAGATAGATCACAGATTATACATACTCAAGTACAAACATTTTTGCACAGTATTATCACCTCATGTACTGACTACACACAGTGGGACAGATAACATCATATTTTAGACCTAGAAAATGAAACTCAGGTTTTATGCAGGCTGTGATCGAATTAGCTAGCATATAGCCACTAAACCGGAGTAATGCGTGACCACAATTCAGCACAGGCATGTGGACATTTACCTCTACAGGAAGAACATTGCGATAACTGTGCCAACGTGAGTAGCACTAGTCAAACCAATATGGCATGCAGTGTTTCCCATGAATTACCTAGAATGTGGCAGCCCGCCTGTGTAATTTGTACGACCATTCACAAACACATGGACAACGCACCATGGGTCATAGTTGGTCTATTCTCAAATATGATATTGCTTTTCAGCACCAATCGATCTGACAGCAAGCACTAAAGATGGGTGAATTGTCATTTAGTCACTGCCCTGTTTTGTGAAAGAATACATTGCAACAAGGATGTGCATAATATGGCTCAAGTCCAGCTACCAGTTCCTATTACTGCACACTTTGAATTGCACTTTGAATTCTCAAGGTGGTAGACCATTAAATCAGCAAAATAAAGTGACAGGCTGCTCAAAAAAAATCGTCCCAAAAAAAACAACCAGTGCTGGACTCAGTTGCTGATAGATAGATAGATGAACCCTACTCCTCATGAGCCTTAAGCTTTTCTCTTGACACTACTGCTGACACCAAGGGTCTTCTCTTGTTTCATTTTCTGTTTGCTCTCTGTCCCACCTGTGCTTGGTGTAGGGCAGCTGTTTTGATAATGTCTAGTAACACTGTACTGATTGATAGTCCAGCTGTAATACAAAGCCAGCTCTAACTTTCTCTGTGATCACTCATTTTAAATGTCAGTGTATCCAATCTCACAGCACAGCTGCTGTCATAAACCTGCAGTTTTGTTCGTTTTATCAGACAATGTAGTAATCATGAAGTGATGATTTTATTTCCAGGCTCAACAACTACAGTGAATTTGGGAAGTGTTCAAACCCCTTCACTTTTTTCACATTATGTTCCAGCCTTATGTTAAAATAAGATTTAAAAAAAAGGAAAAACTGAAATGTCACACTGACATAAGTATTGAGAGCCTTTTCTATGACACTTGAAATTTAGCTCAGGTGCCTCTCAGTTTTTTTCTCTTCATTTTAAGATGTTTCTATACCTTTTTTATTGGAGTCCACCTGTGGTAAATTCAATTGATTGGACATGATTTGGAAGAAACATCTGTCTATATAAAGTCTCACAACTGACGATGCACATCAGAGCAACTTTAAACAGTTGCACTCTAAGAGGTTACTACAGCAGTCCACAAAACCTCCAGTCCAACCTGGAGTGAGCTGCAAAGGAAGTGTATCAAAGCAATGACGTGCATGTTTAAAAAATAATTGAGTGCTGACGTGAATGGCTGTCTCTGCTTCCTTTCAAAGGAAAGTGTCAGACATGGCAAAACATACTATAACGTCACAAGACACTTTGTGATTCTCCAGAAAGGAAATGGAATACTTTGGATTGTCAAATTGTGTTGTAGTTGTGATCAAGGCACATCTTAGACAAGTATTGAAAATGTTTGACTTGTGACCAGTGTAATCTTGTTTCAGAAATGTAATTTACGAAAATATTTCCAGTTTTTTGATCATTGAGTTTTTTTAGAAGCACTGTATTTCCAGCAAGTCCTACCGTAAGAACAAACTATTGCAAATGTTCTTCTTAAAGTCATGATATCCAATCTTTTTATAGGTCACACAACAAAAACTAAATTCACAGTTGTGGTTTAAAGTTCAGTATTTATTTTTATTTCAATGGCAGTGACATAGAAAAAGGGATACCTCAAAATAATCTGATTGGAAGATTTAAGGTCAGCAGCTTGGTCCCATCACAAGATTTGCTAAAGTTATTATCTTTTGCGGGAGCCATTTAAAGGACACAGTGTTATTATGCAGGCAGGTACATGATATTTTTTCTAGAAGTTTGCTGCATTTCATTTTGTTTTTAACTTTAAACTTGCATTACATAATGGACAGGGCAAGGTGTACAATGCAGGGGAAGGCAGGAACACAAAAACAAGTACTTCTCCCTGTAAATGAACACGCTCGACAAACCGAAGATGAATACTCTAACATTGTCTTAAGCTAATCTTTCACCGAGGCACTCAAATACAGGTATGGTGTTGCACATTCGTGGACGACACACAACAGCACTGCTGATAACAAAAGTCCTCGGAGAAACACTGATTACTATGTAAAACCCTACTACAAAGAGCCAAGGCCACTCTTTTCCTTCACACCTTCTTGGATCCCTGTTATGACCCAGGGGGATCTGTAGCTTATGTCCAAAGCTGTCTTTAATGAGACATTGGACCCTTCTTCAAAAAGGAGCTTTTCTATTTTGTAAAAAAAAATCGGAGTTGTTTCTGTTTAAACAAACCTGCATCTAAACCTCAGTTCTCCTAAAACCTTTCTGAAAGTAATCCAATAAGCTGCGGCTAATTAATTCTCTGTGTTTTGATTGACAGACCCCGGTGGAGGACGTGCCTTTGGCCATTGCTCCATTCCAGGGACGAGTCCTGGTGGGGGTTGGGAAACTGCTGAGAATCTATGACCTGGGCAAAAAGAAGCTGCTTCGCAAATGTGAAAATAAGGTAAGGCAAGGCAGAGCTGCTAAAAAGCTTGAACGGTTATTTCACTGTGTGAACGGTCTTGTGCCTGCAGTTTTATTGTTTTTAGCTATGATTGAGGGACGTTTTGGATAAGTAGTCCACATTTTGTAATACACATGTAGTAATCGCTTGTCACTAAAAATTCTGGCCACAAATTTTGATACTCAAATATAATTTTTTTGCCTTTTTTTCCAAAAAAAAAAAAATAGTTCTGTTGCTGGGAAAGGTAGCTAAAAGTAAATTTTAGTCTACTTAGCTCCATCCACACTAACACTCACAAATTTAAAAATGCATCTTTTTCACTCTATTTTGATCTTCCATGCATACTGTAAGTTTTCCACCTCCTTCCAACTTTTCACTGAAGCTCATCAAAGAGGTTAAATGTGACTGGAGCCTTTCAAAAAATGCAGATATAGGACAGTCTTTAGAAACATACTTCAGCTTTCAGCTGACCCCAGAGTTATTGGTTAGTGAGGGAAACCATTCATACCCTGCTACATAATACGCTTAGTCTTCGTCTGCCTTGTAAATTGAATAACTTGACACTGCAGCTACCACAGAAACAGGCTTTAATGGATGTAATGGTGTGAGTTATGCATGTCTGTGCCTAAATATATTCACTGTTATCCATATAAGTTTTAAAGTAATGCAATGTAAGAGTAAGCTAATAATTATAGACCACATAGCACAGTTGGGCGATTTGTTTCTGTCATGTCTCAGCCTTGATTCGATAATAGCTACATCCGTTTATGAAATGGGTCATTGTAGGAATAAATTTACATTCACAAAGCATCCAGACAAACTTGGTGTAGGCATCTACATGGTCTATAGTAGTTTGCTACTGTTAAACTCTAACCTGACACGCCAGATGGTTTGTTACATAGAACCGTCTGGGAAGGCTTCATGGAGACTGGAAAAGGGCAGGTCCTTTCAAAAAAAATACTTGGCAGGTGATTGGATGAACCGTCCATCTATCACAGGCTAATTTCAACCAATCAGATCCTGCATCTTCCCTCCCATTTCTTTTACTACCAGCATAGCCAGAGCAAAAACATCTTTTCCATTGAGAAAAGTCTTTGTTGTTCTTTGCTCCTCTTTCATTGGAGAAATACTTTCCAGTGCTGATATAACCAATGCTATAGCATCTAGCAGCATCTAGGCTAACCTAGGAGGCCATTGTTGTTAATGAACAGTTTCTTCTTGCTTTCATCACACGTAAGACACGCCTGTAGCTGCCAGAAGTTCCTCCGTCATTGGATGCCGATTGGTCCAAACCAATTTAGTTCAGCCACAAGTGGGAAAACCATACACTTAAGGAAAACAAAACTTTGAGAAACCCAGTTAAGGGCCATTATTGGGAAATAATAAGCTCTTTCAATTGCAAATCTACCTGTATTCACCAAATTTCTCAAATTTCTTATCTTCACTGTTAATAAACTAAATAAACCATTGAACCAACGTCTGTAACATCAGTAATTTCACCTTATTTGCTTGTAAATGTCAGTTGAAATGAACTTGAAGCACTGTTTCTTCTCCCTGTGAAGACAAAGATGCTGTTTTTTTTTTGTTTTTTTTTTTCTCCCAATCTGTCAGTGAATGATAGCACTGGTTTAAACTAGTTCAGTATTAAATTCAATAATGACAGTCTCCTGCTCTTCCACCTCCTCCTTTCTGGATTTAATATAAATCTGAAGCACATCCACTTTAAATTAAGCGGCAAGATGAAGCTTTCTAAGGACAGCAATTATTTGTCGGAAGTGCTTTCTTTTCACAAAGAATAAACAATTTTCATTTGTTCAACTATTCAAGTAACCCTTTGTTTACACTGGCTTTGTCACTCTCGTATACAGTCGAGAGTGTTTGACAGTTTCACATGGTTTGCTTCAGCAAATTCAATTTAAAATAAAGTAATTGGCATTTAGATTGAGGTGGGGTTGTCTGTCAATATGAGGAGTAAAGAGGTGACCATGCTAGTGAAGAAGAGACGAGCCTCGAAAAAAGCAAAAAGCTATCGGAGAGATATCAGGTTTGTCAAAATCAACAGTTGCGTTCGTTCTAAATAAAGCAGGTTAGTACAGGAAAACTAGAAATTTAGCTGGTCGACTGAGCAGCACAAGTCTGGTGGGTGAGTGGAAAATCATTTGCATGGTGATGTGATAAAATGGTTTAATCTCCTACATAGTTCTTTCTATCATGATATAAACCTAAAACTAAAAGCTTTGAAGCACAGAACCTGAAGAGCAAAAAAAAATGATGATAATGTGCGGCTGAAATCACTGGTTTTATAGACCGTGTAATATTCCATTAAAGAAATTGGCGGAAACTTTATGAGGTGGGAGATGCACTCGCCTTGTTTGTGAGGACTTGAGGGCACACATAGAACAGCTGCTGTTTACAGCGACAACCGCACAAGGTGCCTGTAAAAGGCCCGGTTGATGCCCAGTTGGAGTAGAGTACTGTTTCTGCCTGTTCTATTGCAGACAAAATACATGGCTTGCATTTGATTAAGGACCTCATGAACACAAGGAAGTGTATGTGCTGCAGCTGGAACACAGATCTGTTGGACATTGTACACCAGCTCATGGTTGTATTTCTAACAGTTCCTTCCTACCTAGAGTATTTGTTTCCTCCCTTTTATTGATCATATCCTTCTGTATTTAACTTAATTAGTTTTAATGAATAAGAAACTGGAACAATGAACTATGAATGAAGTCAACAAGCTTGTTAAGCTTGTAGAACAGGACTGCATGTTTCCCTTGTACAAAAAGTGAGGTTTCCCTCCTTAGTACACATGTGTAGTACCTTTTTGTCTTTCGTCAGCTTCTCTACCTGTACTTCATTGTTCTTCTCTCTAGCACGTACCCAACCTGGTGACTGGTATCCATACCATCGGCCAGCGTGTAATTGTGACAGACGTCCAGGAGAGTCTGTTCTGGGTTCGTTATCGACGTAACGAGAACCAGCTCATCATCTTTGCTGACGACACATATCCACGCTGGGTGACAACGGCCTGTCTGCTCGACTATGACACCATGGCCTCCGCTGACAAGTTCGGGAACATCAGCATTGTAAGTACAGGAACGAGGATTGTTGGGTGTATTTGTATTGGTAGAATAATTCAGAAATACCACTTTGAATTGAAAAACACACTGAGAAATTGAGTATGTAGTATATAATGGTAGAAGAATAAGTCACAATTGTCTTTTGGCAAAAAAACATTGAAAACATCAACCCCAGTCAAAACAAATTGATGTGTCCCTTGTGTGTCTTTCTCACATAAGTGTTCTCTATGGAGTTCTCTGTGACTGACAACAATAAATCTGATTGATTTACCCAGGTGCGTCTTCCCCCCAACACCAGTGATGATGTGGATGAAGACCCCACAGGGAACAAAGCTTTATGGGACAGAGGCCTGCTTAATGGAGCGTCACAGAAGGTAAGATTCGGGTCAGTGCTAAAGGTTAACCAGCGCAGTCAGTCAGTCTCCCCGTCGCTGTGTCCTCGTAGCCTAATGCTGCCCCCATGTTTTCATGCAGGGATGGTATTAGCCAGGATAAGAGCAGTGCCTCATGTTTGCCTGACGTAGGGCTTGGAGTTCTGCTCAGAGTTTTTTTTTTCTCTCATCAGACCAGCGGTCTCTGTCTACATGTGCTCAGAGTCCTTTAAATGCTGTTTGGCAAACTCAAAGCAGGCTGTCATATTTCTTCTACTCAAAGTGGCCTCTGTCTAGTCTCATAGTCTGATGAATGAAGTGCTGTTGAGATGGTCATCCTTCTGGCAGGTGCTCCCATCTCAGTAAAGTCATTTCTCCTGTATGTTCTACCTAGGTGCTTTCCCAAACTAAAGTATTTCCAGTAGGTGAGAACACGGCTCTCATGGACAAACTCAGACTGTGTGCTACATGTGTGAAAGGACAACAAGTTCATATGTCTGATCAGTTCGGTTTGCCTCTGGTTATTTCATACTCCAGTCAATTTGTAAACACATCTCAAGGATAATCAAAGCAAACAGATGGCACTGTACCCGACCATAATTTGCAGTGCACAGCAAAATGGTCTGAATATTTTTGCAAATGTAGAGTCTAGATTAATGGGCAAAATGGCAGTTTTATCTATTTAAGGATTAAATCTACATTACAAAGTTTGCAAAAAGTGAAAAACTGATTGTCTGAAGCCAGTGTATGTAGAGAGAGCAAGTGAGTTCTAACAGTAAAAAAGTCACTTCAGGTTTTTTAAGGTGTTTCAGAAAGAAACACTGTGTTGAGCCCAGGTTGGCCATGTTAAACAGACCGGCTTCTGCAATGGCTAAAATGTCATTCCTGTGCAGGACTCTGGCCTGATACACTAATCTGCCTTCTCCACCACTCAGACCTCCAACCGCCAACACACACAGACACAACACACACGCGTCACACAAACAGCACAACACCGTCAACCACAAGTTTAACCTACTCACAAATGCTACACAACTAGCACACACAGCATCACTCTTACCATATTTAAATCAAATATGGTCAAAAACTGTTTAGGTAGCAGATAGACTGGGAAAGTCCCTCCAATTTAGACATTATGACTTGGTCCCAGTTGTCTTTGTGACACAGTGTTTGTCCGCTATTTCTGCCGTAGCGCACACTGATAGACAATTTTGTTTGAATGTGGAAATGTACTGTGTCTGTTTATAGATGTGGTGTGGATGCCTGCATTTCTCCTTATCCAGAATTTTGTGCGTGCGTGTGTCTGCGCGCGCGTGCATGTTCACATCTGGCTGGTTTAACTTAATTACCCATACATGGCTCGGCTAAATGCTGTCTTACATTAAATTAGATGCATTCCACTTTCATTTGATTAATGTATCTCAAAAGATCAAGGTCAGGGAGGTACAGCTGTCTGTTTGGCAAAATGAAAGGACCGACTGTCCTAACCCCAAACGTCATACAGTGTGAGAGGATGATTTCTGTCGTGTTGTTTCTAATTGTCTCTTTCAATTTTAGTCGATGTAGGAATTCCATTAGTACGTCAAAATTTTCACACACTTTTATTGTCAAAACATATACAACTGAAGTAATCATAAAAATAAAAATAAAAGTTGAAGTTCAGGTCAAACATTGACATAAATCACACAAGGATCAACATACATGGGGCAGAATTTGCATTTAAATCAAATTTTAATTAGTGCATTCATATGACTGAATGAAGAGAACTTCTTTGTCACACAAATAGTCACCAATTTGGCTTCTCTAATGAGTTAAATGCAATCTTTCAGAAAACGGGAGTAGACCCGTTGGCTCATATTCATCACACTTATTTTCTCAGTGTTGAATTCCTTACCTTCTCTGCAGACATGATTTTCGGTTATTGTGGCCCAATATCTATTTTGGTGCTCTTCCGTCACGTGCCTTCCAGGCATAAGTGTTTGAACAGGACCTGGGGAGAACTTCCCGTCCCCGAGGCTGCGTTAATCTGTAGATTTCCTTTCCGTGGTTCTTCAACACTTCAGAAACAAGTAATGTGTGAATCTTTTGTAAAACTGCTTAGCCTTTGTTGTCCCAATGTGATATGTTGGAATCCCCCACAACAGCGTGTGAACAAAATATGCCTCATGTATTCTCAACATGATGACAAGCGGCTGCAGTTTTAGACCAGATGAAACATTCGGGGGAAAAAAAAACATTTGGGCAGTTTCAGTCATGAACCACACCAGTGCAGATGTTTTACTGTGGCCAATAAATGGGGAAAGGATTAGTCCTGTTCTTGATTTTTCTGTAACGGAAAAATCGGAGATCCCTACACAGCAGTACAATCCAGCTGAGTGCTAATAAAACACAGGCAATACAAAAGAATCAAAGATGAAGAAAGGGTTTTGCTGCACAGCAAAAAAAGCTTTTGATCAACTTGAAACTCTGTACTAATTTAAACATTTTCTTAGTGGAAGAGAAAGTAATGTGTTTTGCCCATGCCTCATCTGGCTCACTCGTGGCTCTACGGATCGCTATGTCTGATGCTCAGTCAGACATAGCCGTCAGATGGATTGGCAACAAATTTTTGGATATTGATTGTCACCTGAGGATGTATCCTACTGACTTGGTCCCCTTACATTTCCTATAGTGCCACCGTGTAGTTGACATTCAAGGTTTTAAGTGAAATGTGATGGATGGATTGCCATGAAATTTGTACACAAATTCACTTTTCATTAGGTCAAAATTTAGTTTTTTTTTCCTGGACTGCTTTTTACAACTAAATACCTGCAAAACTAAGGATATATCTATCATCCTAAGGTGGTGACTATGGTTAAAATTATGCCTGCTATAGACTGTTAGTCTTGTTTCAATTAGGCAGTTCAGACAGTAGGTCTGAGGGATGCACATGCTGATTCATCACAATCGTTGATGTGAGACCTTGGACATTAAGAAAGTGTGCCAAAGTTCCCCTGAGGGAAAGGGGGATAGCAGTGATGGTTTGTATACACAGTGTACAAAAATTGAATGGCTGCAGCAATTGAAAGCATAGATGGATTTGTCATCTGTTAGTGTTTTGAGGTTTATATTAATTCTTGAGAAAGGCTCATTTATCCCCAGGAAGGAGATGACATTGCTGGTCTCATTCAGACCTGTTGTTTCCCATCAGAGGGAAGCTGTGTTCTGTGTACGCCCGGCTCAGTTGTGTCTTGGCAGAGTGAATTTTAACTATCCCTAGTTTGTGCTTTTTTTTTAGTCTCATGGTGTCAGTGTCATGTATGTCCTATATGCAGTTTACTCAGACTAATACTGAGGGTTAAATGCTACCCAATGCTGCCTTTGTATCCAAGGTACATCCTGATTATTACCTCCAATTACTGGCAAAGAAGCTTTTTTTTGATGGTTATTGGATTACATCTGACCATTCAGATCAATTTCCTCTAAGTAAAAGATGACAGTGTGTGACTTCTTTTTGACCTTGGCACAGAGTCCTCTGTTCATGTACTTTATATACATGCAGCTGTCAGTAGGGATGATTTTGAGACCAGAAATGGCTTCAAGTGACATATCTTCTGTCTGTAATTATATAATGTGATTTCTCATATCTCAACAGGACTCTTTGTAATTTTCCATTTAAATGACTGTGGACAGACAGAAGTTAGCATCTCTATATGTATGCACAGTATGAATGCCATGAAATATCAGTCTAGGCTTTCCACACCATCGAGTTCATAATCAAAGTATTAATTATAGAACACATAGTTTCCAATATTGTCTAGACAATAACCGCATTTCACCATTTTAAACTATGTTTTGATTCTCCTTGTCACATATGTAGATTGTGAAAGGTGACTAGATCTCTCAATGGCATATTTGACCTATTTTTTGAAGCAATGTTTTGTTTTTTGTTTTTTTTTGGGTGATCAGTGTCAAAAAAAAGAAAAATCCCTATTTCATCACTTGTAATGATGCATGTAATGGGGATTACATATATCCATCTTATGCAAGATCTGCATGGCTGTACACGCCACAGTTTAAACTCAAGAGCCATACTTGAGCAGCGCAGTGCTAAGTACATTTAAATCCTTTCCTGATTTTTCAAACAATTTGGTTTGGAGTCACATCAGGTAGTGGAGAGCCACGAGGGGTCACAGGTTGGTCTATCTTACTTAAGCACAAAAACACATGAATGTTTTTTCTCCCTTTTCTGTCTCTCTTCAGGCTGAGGTCATAATGAACTACCACGTAGGAGAGACAGTGTTATCTCTCCAGAAAACCACTCTGATTCCTGGAGGTTCAGAGTCCTTGGTTTACACCACACTGTCTGGAGGCATCGGCATACTGGTCCCATTCACCTCACATGAGGTAAAACACACAATGTGTAGTACTTGTTTCTTATACATCCACACACCAAGTTCTAAGACGTTATGGCATCATTGTGGCCCTCAAAAGAGGCTGTCTACTTTTCATTACCTACATAACTAATTAATTTTGGCCTTATTTCCTGGCCTTTCAATTTTATTATGTCTCTCTCTTCTCTTTCTTTTTTTCTCCAGGATCATGACTTTTTCCAGCATTTAGAGATGCACATGCGCTCTGAATTCCCTCCACTGTGCGGTAGAGACCATCTCAGCTTTAGATCCTACTACTTCCCGGTTAAGGTTGTTATCTTGTTTGTATTGTTATTGGAAATACCTTACGTGAATCTGATCTGTTCATTACCTCTGTAAACTATCTTCAAAATATGCATTTGAGCATAATTAAATATCTGTCATTTTTGTCTTCTCTGTTCTTTTCTCCAGAATGTGATTGATGGAGATCTGTGCGAGCAGTTTAACAGTATGGACCCTCACAAGCAGAAGAGTGTGGCAGAAGAGCTGGACAGAACGCCACCAGAGGTCTCTAAGAAACTGGAGGATATTCGCACTCGCTACGCTTTCTAATCATACACACAGCCTCACCTTCACCTAGAAGGGATGGACGAATACACCTTTTATAAGACTATTACACCTGCTGCTGTGCCACAGTATGCCCCTTTAAGGACACAGATTGATGGAGACTTACGGATTGCTCTATGAAAAATGTTCAAGATGTCACAAATATTGATTTTATTTCCCACACATTGGTCAGTTAGGCTGCCAGTCAAACGCACCTTTACTTTGCCAATGCAAAGGACTATTCAAAACTAAAACTAAAATGTGTGTGAACAGTCACCCACACAGTGATGTGAAATGTCATCCTGTCATTCCCCCATATACATACTTTCTGACAAAATTACTGTGAATGTTGTGTCAGATTTTCCACACCTCCCCTGTGCTGGTGTCAGCACAAACTACACATATGCAGCGATACCATACCAAGCTAACATTACAGGGAAACATCACAGGAAGTCTTGGTCATTAGCTCACTTAACATTGTGAAATTGTGGTGTCATAATTACCTCCATTCACACGTATAGCTGTGTGAACAGCCTTCACACACAGATGTGTGAATAGAATTCACACATCTGTGTGCGACGCTTTTGCGCTGTCACCCGCACACTTTGAGCACGTACATACTGATCCCAAATCATCTGTCATCATCTGTAAGCAAGTGAAAAACATTTTTATTTAAAGATGTTTTAACTCATGTCAAGTAGAAAAGACTAGTTATTCCCTAATGGACACAATGTGTAGAGATTGGATTCCATGCTGCTTGGACAGAAGACCCTTGAGAGCTGAGCATATTTTTATTGTCTGTAACAGGTTGTTTAGTGAGAAGGTGATTATCATTTTGTGTGTCCTCCATTTTTGATTTCAGCAAAACATGTTTTTGTATGGTGTGATTATTTTAATGTGTATTGATTGGAATGATCTGTTATGATGCATTTACCGTAGTCCCAGACGGTATTATTAAAATCTTTCTTAGCCCCTGGCCCTACCTATGTCTAGTTGATAACATTGGCCCCAGGCTCATTAAATCACTTTGCTCACTCGCAGCTGGGAACCAGACAGAAGCCGACCTTTAACCAAGTCCAGGCCACGGAAGAAGTGTTGCCATAATGTGGCATTAGACGATGGGTGAACTCAGACTAAATAAGTGGGTGGAAGAATACTGAAGGTTTGCACTGGGTGTTGTTCTTCTCAGTCCTGTAAATTCCCAACCTCAGCCACAGGCACAGACATAGCATTCCACGGTAGTCACTGAATTTAGGGGTTTGTGGGACAGGGGCAGTGGTCTGTTTTGTAAATAAAGATGTTTTTTTGTACTTTATAATGCCATGAGTTTGTGTATCATTTCATACCACTGTGCGTGTGTGGAGAACCATCACTCAGCCAAAGGCTTCATGACTACATTTGTCTCGGTCATTAACACATTAGAGGTCCAATATTAAGGTTTGTGACTTTGTTTTCACTCGTGTTGTGGCTCAGGATAAGAACATTTGTGTTCTTAAAAATTCTTCAATTCTTCAGTTCTTAAATTAAAATGGCAAGGTTAGCCAGTCAAATTGCGATGCATTCATTTGTGAGGAACATTTTATTATACTTTTTTTTGTGAGTAACTTTTTATTTGCTGAGTTCTAGAGGTTACCTTTAGACAAAGATGGGCTAGTTGTTTCCTGTAATAAATAGAATTGAAGATTTTAGCATATTTAAGTATTTTTATCTCAAGTATATATAAATATAAGCAACATTAGCTGTGTACCTTCTCTTGTGATATAGAGCACCGAAAGTGGGTAACGACTACAACTGACAGGAACTGTCTTACTGCTCGGGCTGGTTTCACAAAGGTAGACCTTGACTGTGTCTTAGATATAACAAATGGATAGACTTCTGACAGATGTCTAAATTTATCTGTGGCGCAAAGCAGTTTAGTTCTTTGGTATCTTAAGCCTGACTGTGGTACAACGAATTATGGTTAAATTAAACCTTTTTTCGTTATAAAAAAAAAAAAAAAAGGCCGACATATGACCCGCATCCAACCTCTCAGCTCCATTTACTCCAGCAGAAAATGTTTTTCTTCTCAAGAATTCAACAGTTAAAATCACATTTTACTTGAAGAGTGAAACTATAAAAGAAAAAAAATGGCTGTGGTCCATAACAATGTCAGCAAACCATTAATCAGGAGCCATGTTTTACTGTTTTTGTTGTTGGGTGGCACTGTTGAGTGCAGGTGTCACTGATTACCATGTTACCATGGTAACATTGGTTTTAGGCTTGGGGTAAGGTGTCTAATGTTTTTGGCTTAAAATTAGTCAGTTTTTATCTGTTGTGAAACGGTCTTACTTGCATTAGTCTATGAGCAAAACTAAGACTGGACCAACATTACAGACCAGTCTGAAATATCTTTGAGAAACCGACCCCAGATCTTTTTTAAGGTAGAGCAGCTAAGAATGCTATACTTGTTATACAGAAGCAACTTTATGCCTTGGTGTTTTTAATTAAAAGCATTGTTCAACACCTTTGGAAATGTGCCTGTAAAGAATTAGATTACAAGATCAGTAACTCTCAAATCTGTACAATAAATGTATCGCTAGAGTCAGCGTTTAGTTAGATTAGTTTAGTACTAAGAATGAAAGCACAGGGAAACTGCTAGCCTGGCTCGAGGGTTATTTTGGTTATGGTTAAGTTTTCATAGGAGCTTTTTTTTTCCTCCCTCAATTTTGTTCGTATTCTATTGTATCCTCATGCATCCCCGTTTAAATTTTACTAAAGCTTAAAGTTGAGGGCATAATTTAGGGCGTGGCCGCTTTGAGTAACAGGTGGGTGTCGTCACAGTCCGTTGCTCGCGTCACCTCAGCTAATTGGAGTCACTTTGGCTTTTTGGAGGATTTTTCATACAAATGTCGGGCAAATAATATGGCTTATTGTCTATCACAAAAAACAGCACGAAGTCTGTGCTCCTGTTTTTTGAGGTGAGTGAAATTCTAGTATTATTTTTTTTTATGTTAGCACTAATTAGCAGGTATCTGTGTCTGTCTGTTAGCTTAGCCGTTAACTAGCTAATTAGCAAGCAAATGCATTAGCTTTGGGTTAGTCTTTGAGCAAAACGCCCAGCTGTGCTAACGATGCTAACAGGAATGCTTGCTACAGTTAATCAACCGGCATGCACCGAAGTCTGGGCTGCACAAAAGCCCCACCTCTTTGCCAATTTTTGGGATTAGCCGTGAGTTGTGCAGTAAATTAGCAAGATGGCGATGATAGGGCAGCCCACTCTGAACCTCATAACTGCTCTTCAAAAACCAGTCGGTGACTTCAGACTTCCATCTTTATATACAGTCTACGATTCACACATCCAGGTGTCTCAGCCTGTCTCCCACATCTGTTCATTCAATATGAAGCTAGTGACTATGAATACTTTAGACTTTTAAGTTTTTTTGTTTTTTTTGAGATTTAAATAATTGATTAATTTTTATTCAGTGGCCTTGCTTATTTTACTTATGTCAAGTTATAGTAGCTATTTGTAAGTTTTGATATTGCTACCTAGCCAACATGAGCATTAACAGCAGTTTACTTACTAGTCTAGAAGAAACATTGTGAGTTCAGCATCAAACTTCATTCCTTTACTTGCCAAACCTGTCTCCAGCAGTGGAAAGCAACTCTAGTTTTGCTGCTATTTCTATCACTTTTTTTCTTCTATTGAAGTCAGTTTGCAAACCAGCTATCTCCGTTCCAGTTGCCCTGTATCGTCACTTTACAATAGCTCCTTTTAAAAAAAAAAAAAAAAAACTTTTTCCATCACTGATTTTCAGTGTTGGTCAGAGGACACTTAGACACACCTTAGTTAGCATTTATTATCATGCAAGTACAATGACATTTTATCTTCTTTTGACAATGGTGATTTCCAGGTTCTGAAATCCAGCACCTTGTCTCCTCCCACTTGTAGTGTGAAATGATAACCTACATGTGGATTTCTTTATTAATTTCCTTCTTGCATGATAAACACATTACTGTGATGATTTTTTCCTCCATCGCTGGACATAGTATAGTTCCACATGGAGCAACAGCCAGACATCTCTTTACCTCCATCTGAAGTGTTTTACATGTGAAGGCCTCACGGAAGCAAGTTCTCTGTTGACAGTGGCCTGTTTAACTTGCATAACAAGAAGACGATAATGGTTTGTCACACAGAAGAATAACAAACACTCAGCTGCAACAAAGTCCTCCCATCTGGTCAAGTGCTTCTGCACATGTGATAGGGATTTGCCTCTGTGGGAGAAAAGCAAAGAACTTGGTCAGACTAAACTTTCCCACTTAGAACAATGGCATTGTAGAGTTGCATAGAAGTATAACCACGTAGGCAGGTTTTTAAAATATGTAAAGGACAACAAAGCAGTGCTATGCAGTGGATTTTATCTTGAAAACATGTACTCCTGATTTGAATAGAAAAGTGCACAAGGCACAGTAAAGAAACTTCTGTATCTATTGAAATGCCTATCATAATGGAAATCACTGTTTTTCACATGCTCCTTTACCCGTTAAATTCAAAATGACATTATTCTGCGGGGTATGATGGCCTTTAAAATTGCTGCAGTGTACAGTCATCTACATGGATATTTAAGGATGATCAATTCTTTTTTTAATGTAATTTTTCACTTATATATACATAACTTTTGTATACAATAACACCTTTGGAAATTATCCTTTTTAAATCTTGTTATTTGATGAAGCAGGGTATTTTGCTGGTGAAAAGTAAAGTATCATAAATATCATTGCATATTAAATTATTACAAATAAATATAAATGGAACCACACATTCAAAAAAAATGTTATGCCTTAGCCTTACAAATAAAACCAGTAATTATTGATTGGTAATCAACAAATTCTAGTATTGTACAGTAATACTGGCTACTGGCTAGTAATATTGCCCTGTTACTAAAGTGATCGGGCTCTGAGCAGTCCAGTACCAGTCTATAAAGGTCATGTAATACTTGTTACACAACATGCCAAAAGAGAACTTAAGCAGCCATGTTACTACACCTTTAATCCAGTTGGTTCCACTGTCAATGGTATGGTTTTCAGACATGACCCTTTAACAGCAAAATACAAATTAACAGTTAAGGTTGCTGCTTATACAAGCCCGGTTGGACTCGGGCTCAGTATGTCTCCGGGTCATGACTCTGACATAAAAGTGTTGCATTTATTGCACTGCATTCCACTGCCACCTCTACATAATTATTTTTTAAAGACACATTTAAGGCTCACTGTGACTTTAAAGTTGAGACAGTTTCTGTACTTTGAACTTCATGTGTACTTCTTCCTACAGTGGTGGTTGGTGAAGTCATGGTGCAACTTTGGTCTGTGTTTTAGTTGCATTGCATGTTGCAGCTCCTAAATTGCACAACTTCACTATGATGAAAACATTTGTTATAATCTCTGAGCTTGTTTGTGAGGTGCTGTTGCTTAAAGTGATATTTCGGGTTATGTGATGTGGGGTTGTATGAGGTATTTATACATAGCCAGTGTGTTACCTGCAGCAGATTTGGATTGGTGCCCTTCCAAAACAACTACCAACACCGGGACAGAAGCTGAGCAATGTAGTACTGTGGATGGGACCAGCTGAAAAAATTATGATTTGATGATTAATGATTTTCCTGTGGGCATTTTTTTAAATGGTAGGGCTGTTGTATCTCCACTCTTAGATTTCATTAATGGCAGACATTTTTTAACTATGGTGGCAGCATATTTGTCCTTTTTATCATCCCTTTTATGATGACCTGCAAAATGAATGACATTTGTCGTTCATCATGACATCATATTTTAAACAGAAACACTTAACATAATGGTGAGTATCTCACATGTGGCCTATATATAAAGTTGAAAAAGAAACTGGTTTCAATATATACCACTGATGACTAAAATGGAGTACTGACACATGATGCAAGAAATGGCAAAATACGTGCACTGGTGTTCTAGGTTATTTTAAATCAACAAACATCAGTTTTAAAATGCCATGATTACGTTTCATCAAATCATTCAACAAGAAAATTGATCATTCTGAAACAACTTCAATGGATCTGTTTTTAAGGGGCGCTTATGCTTTATGGTTTCATGGCAGTTTTGCATGTGAGTCCCAAAGAGACTACCCGCCATGTTTGGTTGTAAGTCAAGCTTTCGGGACATGGCCTCGACCATAAATTTACTAGGATTCACCCTAAATTTTACGCTTATAGTGAGAGGTTAGGGTGAGAGCTTTTGTCATTCCCATAGGCAGGCTGTCCTAGATTGACTGGACATACACAGTCTTCCCCAAGTGACTTTTTCATGTACTGT